GGCTGAGATCCAGCCAACTGCAATCCAGCCTTGGCCGAACAGAATAAACCCATCTCAAAATTAAAAAAAAAAAAAAACCATTGGCTCAGCCAAAATCTCCTTAAACGCTGGATAAGAACTTCACGCAAATCCTAGGACACAAAACAATGTGCCAAAAATCATAAGCATTCCTACTGGACACACCAAACAGACAAAAAGAAAGCCACACTCATCGCCAAGTCGAACTACCAATATCACCATATGGCTACAAAAGAGGAAAATACCTAGAATCAAACTTACCAAAAGGATGGGAACAGGACCTTGAGGAGAATTAAAGAACGGAATGCTCATGAAAAAAGAGGTAACAAATAAATGGAAAGAACATTCCATGCCATGGATACGGAAAGAAATCAAATCGTGCGAAAACCTGGCCCCGACTGCCCCATAACCGTAACTTAATAGATCAATCAGCTCGCATCCAAGCTACCAATGCTTTCTTCAGGAATTGGAAAAAACTACCGTAAAAATCCATATGAAACCAAAAAAGAGCCCACATTGCCCAAGACAATCCTAAGCCAAAAAGAACAAAGCTGGAAGGCATCACACTACCCTGACTTCAAACTGTACTACAAAGCACAGTAACCAAAAACAGCCATGGTACTGGTTAACCAAAACAATACATAGACCAATGGGTACAGAACAAGAGCCCTCCAGATATAACAACATCTACAAACCATCTGAATCGTGATAAACACCATGACCAAAACCAAGAAATGGGTGAACGGATCCTAGTAATGTAAAATGGGCTGGGAAAAACTCGGCCAGCCATTGTAGAAAGGCTGAAACTGATCCCTTCCTTTACATCCTATATAAAAAATCTATTCAGGATGGAGTAAGACTTAAATGTTAGACCCTAAACCATAAAAACCCTAGAAGAAAACCTAGGCAATATCATTCAGGGCCGTAGGATGGGCAAGGACTTCAATACTAACACCAAAAGCAAAGCCAACAAAAGCCAAAATTGAAAAATAGGATTAATTAAGACTAACAAGAGCTTCTGCAACAGCAAAAGAAATTACCATCAAGTGACATGCCAGCTACAGAATGGAGAACATTTTGCAATCTACCCATCTGACAAAGAACTAATATCCAGAATCTACAAAGAACTTAAACAAATTACAAGAAAAAACAACAACCCATGAAAAAGTGGGTGAAGATATGAACAGACACTTCCTCAAAAGAAGACATCTATGCGCCAACAACACATGAAAAAATATTAATCATCACTAGCATCAGAGAACTGCAAATCAAAACCACAACGAGATACCATAGCTCCGTGCCAGTAATGGCAAATCATTAAGAAGTCGAAACAACAGATGCTATTTACCCAGTAGTCATTCAGGAACAAGTTGTTCAGTTTCCATGTAGTTGAGCGGTTTTGAGTGAGTTTCTTAATCCTGAGTTCTAATTTGATTGCACTGTGGTCTCAAAGATAGTTTCTTGTGATTTCTATTCTTTTACATTTGCTGAGGAGTGCTTTACTTTCAACTATGTGGTCAGTTTTGGAATAAGTGCGATGTGGTGCTGAGAAGAATGTATATTCTGTTGATTTGGGGAGGAGAGTTCTATAGATGTCTATTAGGTCCACTTGGTGCAGAGCTGAGTTCAACTCCTGGATATCCTTGTTATCCTTCTGTCTTGTTGTTCTGTCTAATGTTGACAGTGGGGTGTTAAAGTCTCCCATTATTATTGTGTGGGAGTCTAAGTCTCTTTGTAGGTCTCTAAGGACTCACTTTATGAATCTGGGTGCTCCTATATTGGGTGCATATATATTTAGGATAGTTAGCTTTTCTTGTTGAATTTATCCCTTTACCATTATGTAATGGCCTTCTTTATCTCTTTTGATCTTTGTTGGTTTAAAGTCTGTTTCATCAGAGACTAGAATTGCAACCCCTGCTTGTTTTTTTTTTTTTTTTTTTTCCATTTGCTTGGTAGATCTTCCTCCATCCCTTTATTTTGAGCCTATGTGTGTCTCTGCAGGTGAGATGGGTCTCCTGAATACAGCACACTGATTTGTTTTGACTCTTTATCCAATTTGCCAGTCTGTGTCTTTTACTTGGGGCATTTAGCCCATTTACAGTTAAGGTTAATATTGTTATATGTGAATTTGAACCTGTCATTATGATGTTAGCTGGTTATTTTGCCCATTAGTTGATGCAGTTTCTTCCTAGCATCGATGGTCTTTACAATTCGGCATGTTTTTGCAGTGGCTGGTACCAGTTGTTCTGTTCCATGTTTAGTGCTTCCTTCAGGAGCTCTTGGAAGGCAGGCCTGGTGGTCACAAAATCTCTCAGCATTTGCTTGTCCGTAAAGGATTTTATTTTTCCTTCACTTAATGAAGCTTAGTTTGACTAGATATGAGATTCTGGGTTGAAAATTCTTTTCTTTGAGAATGTTTTATATTGGCCCCCACTGTCTTCTGGCTTAGTTTCTCCCAAGAGATCCACTGTTAGTATTATGGGCTTCCCTTTGTGGGTAACCCAACCTTTCTCTCTGGCTGCCCTTAACATTTTTTCCTTCATTTCAACCTTGGTGAATGTGACAATTATGTGTCTTAGGGTTGCTCTTCTCAAGGAATATCTTTGTGGTGTTCTCTGTATTTCTGAATTGGAATGTTGGCCTGCCTTGCTGGGTTAGGGAAGTTCTCCTGGATAATATCCTGAAGAGTGTTTTCCAACTTGGTTCCATTTTCCCTGTCATTTTCAGGTACCCCAATCAAACGTAGATTTGGTCTTTTCACAGTCCCTTATTTCTTGGAGGCTTTGTTCGTTTCTTTTTACTCTTTTTTTCTCTAACCTTGTCTTCTTGCTTTATTTCATTAATTTGATCTTCAATCACTGATACCCTTTTGTCCACTTGATCGAATCAGCTACTGAAGCTCGTGCATGCATTATGTAGTTCTTGTGCCATTGTTTTCAGCTCCATCAGGTCATTTAAGGTCTGCTCTATACTGTTTATTCTAGTTAGCCATTCATCTAATCTTTTTTCAAGGTTTTTAGCTTCCTTGCGATGGGTTCAAGCATCCTCCCTTAGCTTGGAGAAGTTTGTTATTACTGACCTTCTTAAGCCTACTTCTGTCAATTTATCAAAGTCATTCTCCATCCAACTTTGTTCTGTTGCTGGCAAGGAGCTGCGATCCTTCAGAGGGGAAGAGACGCTCTGGTTTTTAGAATTTTCAGCTTTTCTGTTCTGGTTTCTCCCCATCTTTGTGGTTTTACCTACCTTTGGTCTTTGATGTTGGTGACCTACAGATGGGGTTTTGGTGTAGATGTCCTTTTTGTTGATGTTGATGCTGTTTCTTTCTGTTTGTTAGTTTTCCTTCTAACAGTCAGGTCCCTAAGCTGCAGGTCTGTTGGAGTTTGCTGGAGGTCCACTCCAGACCCTGTTTGCCTGGGTATCACCAGTGGAGGCTGTAGAACAGCAAATATTGCAGAACAACAAATACTGCTGCCTGATCCTTCCTCTGGAAGCTTCGTCCCAGAGGGGCGCCCACCTGTATGAGGTGTCAGTCAGTCCCTCCTGGGAGGTGTCTCCCAGTTAGGCTATACAGGGTCAGGAACCCAGTTGAGGAGGCAGTCTGTCCATTCTCAGAGCTCAAACGCCATGCTAGGAGAATCACTGCTGTCTTCAAAGCTGTCAGACAGGGACGTTTAAGTCTGTGGAAGTTTCTGCTGTCTTTTGTTTAGTTATGCCTTGCCCCCAGAGGTGGAGTCTGCAGAGGCAGCAGGCCTTGCTGAGCTGCGGTGGGCTCCACCCAGCTCGCGCTTCCCCTGGCTGCTTTGTTTTCCTACTCAAGCCTCAGCAATGGCAGATGCCCCTCCCCCAGGCTGCTGCCTCGCTGTGGATCTCAGACTGCTGTGCAGGCAGTGAGCAAGGCTCCGTGGGCATGGGACCCGCTGAGGCAGGCGCGGGATATAATCTCCTGGTGTGCCGTTTGCTAAGACCATTGGAAAAGCACAGTATTTAGGTGGAGTTGTCCTGTTTTTCCAGGTACAGTCTGTCATGACTTCCCTTGGCTACGAAAGGGAAATCCCCCGACCCCTTGCGCTTCCCAGGTGAGGCAATGCCCCACCGTGCTTCAGCTCACCCTCTGTAGGGTGCACCCACTGTCCAACCAGTCCCAATGAGATGAACCAGGTATCTCAGTTGGAAGTGCAGAAATCACCGATCTTCTGCGTTGATTACGCTGGGAGCTGCAGACCGGAGCTGTTCCTACTTGGCCGTCTTGGAACGGACCTGCACAAAGTAAAATTTTTATATCAACTTTTGCATAGACTGTTCAGGTTCATGTTACTTTTCTTTGCCATTGTTCTGTTGTAGGTATATGCCAATCTAACATCTTGTCAAGCTCTTGGAAATATATGTGTGATGAACATGAATTCTTACGACTTTGCCACATTTGATGCATGTCGACTATTTCAGTTTATCTTTGAAAATACTGCTGGACTGAGCACTGTTCATTCTATTTCATTTTGGTAAGGATATTTTGACTGATGAAATGTTATTTTGACTGCATTCAGTGCAGTTATTAATATATTCACAAATATTAATAAGAAATATTTATTCTCCATTATTAAAACAGTTGTAACTGTTTATAGGAGACAGAATCTTCCTTGGCTGTTTTATGGAGACCAGTTAGGATTAGCACCTCAAGTGCTCAGTTCTACCTCTCTTCCTACAAATTTCAGTTTTAAAGGAGAAAACCAGGTAAAAATGTCTAATATCATTCGAGGATAACTACCTTTTGATTTATAATTTTAAAAGGTAATAAGAAAGTTATAATTCTTACCTTTTTAGGTTATTGCTACAAACTCAGTTACCAAACTAAATATAAATGTCAACAACTTACAAGAACTAAACAGTATAGAGTTTAGCTGTCGTATTGAATATGTGGATACTTCTGGATTATGTGGTTATGACAAGAACTAATACTTGTAGGGTTGGGAAGAGTAGTTTTCAACACCAAATGCAAAAAATCTCTGTCCTGTTTTTCCATACCTTAAAGAAGTGCTTCCAAAGATTGACTGGGGCTCTGTGACATTGCTTAGCACTTCACAGGGCCAAATTCCCACCTCTAACTTTTTGACTTTCCAGAATGAGGAGATACTGTTCTCCCACACTGCCTCCTATTTAACAGGTTCGAAAGGAGTCTATCTGTCACTAGTGCTGCCTCTCAATTCTAGAATAATAATTTTCATGCAAAAAAACAGTCCAATTATTTTAGGTGTATTTAGTCATAGAAATAGATTAATTGAGCCTCAAAATAAAGGTAATTGAATGTAATTTGTCAACGATGAACATTTCTTTATAGGATGTTGTATGACTTTCAGAGTATTTGACCTGATTTTGCTCTTGTTTTCTTTAATCAGAATACAAAACTGAAGTTTGTTGCTGCTTCCTATGATATAAGAGGAAATTTTCTCAAGTGGCAAACTTTAGAAGGAGGTGTTTTACAGGTAAGCACAATTCTAGTTAAAGAATTAATAATGTGCATTATTTTTGCCTGAGGCAAAGAGGAAAAGATTAGATTATTGTATGAATAAAGCATCAGTTACATACTAAAGTTGATTTTTTTTCTGATGCTTTAAATTAGAATTTCTTAAGTTTCTTTTTTTTTTTTTTTTGAGAGGGAGTGTCACTCTTTCGCCCAGGCTGTAGTGCAATGGCGCGACCTTGGCTCACTCAGCCTCCCGAATAACTGGGAGCTGGAACTACAGGTGCCAGCCACCACGCCTGGCTAATTTTTTTTTTTTTCTTGAGACGGAGTCTCACTCTCTCACCCAGGCTGGAGTGCAGTGGCGCGATCTTGGCTCACTGCAAACTCCGCCTCCCGGGTTCACACCATTCTCCTGCCTTAGCCTCCTGAGTAGCTGGGACTACAGGCGCCCGCCACCGCACCCGGCTAATTTTTTGTATTTTTAGTAGAGACGGGGTTTCACCGTGTTAGCCAAGATGGTCTTGATCTCCTGACCTCGTGATCCACCCATCTTGGCCTTTCAAAGTGCTGGGATTACAGGCGTGAGCCACCGTGCCTGGCAAAGCTTTATTTCTTTAAAGTTATGACTTTAATTTATAACAGATGTTCCCTTAACTTTTCATATCCTTGATACATTACATAAGTATGATGTAGAGCATATATCCATGTTTGGGTGAGTATAAGAATAGAAAACAGTTGTGAGAGAGATTTATGTGTTGTATTATTTTACTGTAGCTTTGTCCAGACACAGAAACAAGGCTAAATGCTGCTTATTCATTTGGAACAACCTACCAACAAAATGTAAGTTTGAACTATATTAGACTATATTTTAGCTTTATTTTTCAAAATATCATATCAGCAGTAATTGGAATAATACTTAAATTTTGAGATTGGAATTTTTTTTTTCCTGTTTTTGTTTTTTGTTTTTTGTTTTTTGTTTTTGAGATAGAGTTTTGCTCTTGTTGCCCAGACTGTAGTGCAGTGGCGCGATCTCAGCTCACTGCAACCTCCGCCTCCCAGGTTCAAGCGATTCTCCTGCCTCAGCCTCCCGAGTAGCTGGGATTACAGACATGCCACCATGCCCGGCTGAAGACGGGGTTTCTCCATGTTGGTCAGTCTGGTCTCGAACTCCCCACCTCAGGTGATCTGCCCTCCTCAGCCTCCCAAAGTGCTGAGATTACAGGCATGAGCCACTGTGCCTGGCCGGAAATGTTTTTAATAGTGATGAATAATTTCACTAATTAATATAATTTTTTATTACCTGGGTACAGAAAAGCTTAATTTCAGTGGCGTAAACAGAGCACCTTGTTATCTGTAGAGGTTTTTGTTTTGTTTTGTTTTGTTTTGTTTTTTGAGACAGAATCTCACTCTGTTGCCCAGGCCGGAGTGTAGTGGTGCGATATTGGCTCACTGCAATCTGGGCTCACTGCAGTCTCTGCCTCCTGGGTTCAAGCAATTCATGTGCCTTAGCCACCTGAGTAGCTGGGACAACAGGCATGTACCACCACACCCAGCTAATTCTTGTGTTCTTCATAGAGATGGGGTTTTGCCATGTTGACCAGGCTGGTCTCAAACTCCTGGCCTCAAGTGATCCACCAGCCTCGGACTCCCAAAGTGCTGGGATTACAGGTGCGAGCCACCACGCCCAGCCTAGAGTCTTAAACATCATATAATACATCTTTGTAATAAATTGTTTATCTGCTTCTAGGCTTATAGGTCTTAAAAAGTAATGCTTACTTCTGAGCATTTTGAAATAACGTAAAAATGTTACTTTTTTTTAAATGACTAATAAAGGTTACTCCCTTCTTCTACCCCCTAATAACAAACAAAAATAATTCCTTCATCTTCCTCCATTTTTTTCTTTCTCCTTCCTTCTCTGACATTCCTTACTTTGGTACCTATTTTGAAATTACATTATCTTACTAAGGAATATTATGAGCCATTAAATACTTGAAAGACATGCATGTATTAGTCCATTCTCACACTGCTAATAAAAACACACCCGAGACTGGGTAATTTACAAAGGAAATAGGTTTAATTGGCTTACAGTTCAGCATGACTGAGGAGGCCTTAGGAAACTTATGGTGACAGGAAGAGAAATACTGAGCAAAAAAGGGAAAAGCCCCTCATAAAACCATCAGATCTCGTGAGAACTCTTTCACTATTATGAGAACAGCATGAGGGTAACCGCTCCCATGATTCAATTACCTCCCTCCAGTCCTTCCCATGACACATGGGGATTATAGGAACTACAGTTCAAGATGAGATTTAGGTGGGAACACAGCCAAACCATATAAATTCATTAGTCTGTAAAAATACATCTTGATAAAGTTCCACACACAACCATAGAACAAAACCACAACAAAAAATACCATTATGGAAAGTAGATTGGAAGAATCTACTAACAGTGATTACCTTTGGATAGTGGGGTCAGAAATTGTTTTTGTTTTCTTGTTTATAATTTCCAAATTTTCTACCATGAACATGAATTTACTTCTTTTGTCAGAAATGATTTACATGTTGTTGTTGTTGTTTTTAAAATAAATGTTATTGTGCTTCTAACATAGGCCAGAAAGATCAACATTTATGTAATGCCTGTCTCTGTGTGCTCAGCATTTTATCATTATTATTCCATTTGATTCATAAAATAACTATGTGAGATACATAATATCTGTGCTTCACAGACGAGGAAATTATGCCAAGTAATTAGGTAATTTACTCAAAGACTTGTGTCACATAAACTGTGGAGCCAATGTTCCATCAGGTTTAAAAAGCATTTTTATTTCATTGAACCTGGCCAACTCTCAAGTTCTTCATAGTGTAGTAGGCAAAACAGTTATATAGACAAAGAATTGCAAAGAATATAAGTGTCATTCTATAGGTTTGTATAAGGTACTGATTCCTGGGGAAGTATAGAAAGGCTTCACAAAGTAAGTGATACTTGGGCTTGTATAATGAATATGAGTTTTCCAGGAGAATACAGTGGGGAATGAAATGTCAGACAGAAGCCACATTTGCAATGACAGAGAGGCATACAGTAGCATGGCATATTTAGAAACTACAAGTAGATTAGTATGAATGGACCACCATAGACAGATAGGGAGTAATGAGAGAGAAACCTGGCTTGGTTAATGGAAGGCAGATCATAGACATCATTGTACAGCAGGAGAAAAAATTAGGAATTTATCCCATAGGACAGTAGTTTTAAACCTTTTCACTGATGTACACTTAATATTGAGAATGAAAACATACCTCCTTCATCTGAATTGAGGCTTAAGAAGTTTTCAAAGTTCTCAAAGCAGTTATTTACTATTAGTGTTTTTGGTCCTTATAAAATAATCATATTTACAGTATTCAGGTTTTGGAAGGCAAATGGAAATGCATATAAACAAGGCAGTATAAAGATATTTTGCACAACTAGAAAAACATTCTGAAGATAATAAATATGCTTGCTAATTTTCAATTGTGATTTTTTTTTTTGCTTTTTAGTACTTTAAGTTGCTATTTTATGTGCTTTTATTTTTAATTTTACTTTTCAGTGTGAGATTCCTATCTCTAAGATCTTAATTGACTTTCCCACTCCTATATTTTATGATGTGTACCTTGAATATGCTGATGAAAATCAACATCAATATATTTTGGCTGTGCCTGTGTTAAACCTAAATCTTCAACACAATAAGATATTTGTGAACCAAGGTAAGACATCCATACATACCACTTTTTTCCCTGAGCAGAAATCAATAAATAAGTTAACCTACGTGATAATTTAATAAACCACATAAGAAAGGTCATGAATTCTCTCTTATATGGTTCTATACAATGTACCAAAAAATAAAACAATATATTGATGGTGGATTTAGAAACTTTTACTAATTTTATTACCAGACATATCGTTAAGAAATTATACTGTTGCTGAGGGTATATCCTGAGAAACATTAGTATAACTGTAAATTGGGGCTTTTTCTTCAAGCTGCCCTGAATATGCTTTTTTGGACAAATTAGTTTCTTTTGTTATTACTCATATTATAAAATTCCGCTTTTTTAGGTAATTTGCAGGGAAAAGCCTTCCAAATTTATGCAAAGTTCAAACAATCAGAAGACATTCAAGTCCAAGGCGCAGTGGCTCACACCTATAATCACAGCACTTTGGGAGACCAAGAGGGGAGAATTGCTTGAGCCAAGAAATTCAAGACCAACCTAGGCAACATGATGAGAACCTATTGCTACAAAAAAAAAAAAAAAAATTAACTTGGTGTGGTGGTGCAAGCTTGTAGTCCCAGCTACTCTGGAGACAGAGGTGGGAGGATCACTTGAGCCCGGGTTGAGAATGCAGTGAGCCATGATTATGCTAGTGCACTATAGCCTGGTCAACAGAGTGAGACCCTGTCTAAAAAAACACAAAAGAGGCCGGGCACGGTGGCTCACGCCTGTAATCCCAGCACTTTGGGAGGCTGAGGCAGGCAGATCACGAGGTCAGGAGATCAAGACCATTCTGGCTAACATGGTGAAATCCTATCTCTACTAAAGAATACAAAAAAATTAGCTGGGCGTGGTGGCGGGCGCCTGTAATCCCAGCTACTCGGAGGCTGAGGGCAGGAGAAAAGCTTAACCCAGGGGGGGAGGGTAGAAGGGGGCCAAAACCATAAACCCTCACCCCACCCGGGGTGCAGAAGGGGGACCCCCTAAAAAAAAAAAAAAAAATCAGAAGACATTCACATGAGTTAGAGAAGGCCATTGTCAGGTGTTTCTTATACTAGTAGCTTTTTGCAGCCATCTTATCTAAAACAATAATTTTATCTTTTAAATTTGTACAGTAAACTTTTTTCTTTTTATAATAAAAGACAGCAACTCTGGCAAGTGGCTTCTAACTCGGCGCATTTTCTTAGTGGATGCAGTAAGTGGACGAGAAAATGACTTAGGAAGTCAGCCAAGAGTAATTCGAGTTGCTACCCAAATATCACTGAGGTAAACAAATGTCTAATGATATTATTTATGGGAAAATATAATGGAAGTGTTTGCCAGTTATTAGTAGATGAAAACAATAAGGACAACTGAATTGGAACAGTTGGTCAGGTTATTTTAGGTATATGTGTAGATTGGCATAGACCAGTAAAAGTGAATAGCCAAGGAGGAAACTATAACAGAAGAGTGTGAGGAGTTAGGTCAAAATTCACATGCCAGGTCCCCCTCTAGACCTGCTGAATTAGAATGGGCTGTGAATAGCTAAGTAAATACCAGTGAGCTGAAATTGGTGTTTTAGAAAGAGCTTGCCAGATGGTTGGTGATATTTAGGACTCCCCTATCCTCATTTCTTTCCATGACTTTTGTTCTGGGTTTACCCAGATTAAATATCCTCTTCCTAGGATAACCTAACTGTGATCGTACCTTAGGTTAGTACTGCACCACTTAAATTTCTCTTTCTTTTCCAGTGTGAGATCTCTAAAATCTTAGTGACTTTCCCACTGTAATGTTTTATGATGTGTACCTTGAATACACTGATAAAAATCAACACCATCATCTCACAGTAGTTTGGTACTTTGAAGTACTTCAATATACTTTTTTTTTCAGTTGTTTCATTTTGATTCTCATAATCTTATGAGGTAAACAGTGCAGAAACTTTGTTATGTATCATGCTGAAATCCAAATGTACTGTGTTTTCAGCATTTCTTCAATCTGCTAATACAGTATTCTAGTAAAAATGAAAATGCACCTAGTCAGACTTGATGTGTTCTTGATGAAACCATGGTGGCCCCTAGTGATTGGCACTTTCCTTTTGAATTCACAAACTATACAGTACTAATGCATTGAATTTGGCAAAATGAACCTCACTTTGTGCCATAACCATATTACAGCTGACACTTTTTTTTAATTAAAAAATTTATTTATTTGTTTATCTTGAGACAGGGTCTTGCTATGTTGTCCAGACCGGTCTTGAACTCCTGGGCTCAAGCAGTCTTCCCACCTTGGCCTCCCAAAGTGCTGGGATTACAGGCATGAGCCACTGCACCTGGCTTGACATATATTATTTTGTTAAGAATTCATCTTTCTCTTTTGAAATCAAGATCTTATCTGCCTTTCTTTAGGCTTCATGTAGCACTGTACTTTTGATTATTCCTCAAAGATAGTTTATAGTTCTTCAGTGATTTCATCTGTAAACTTCATAGGACTTGGATTGAGCTTCTAATTTATCTCAGATGGTACATTTTTAGTTTGTTTTTTCTTTAATCTTACACCATCAGATGTTATATTTTAATGTTCAAGTCTTGATCACTGAAGATGGCTTATGTTGTCATCATTAGTTTATGTGTAACCTTCCTTAGTCCTTTTTAACTGATTGGTTCTGAGATCATCAGACAATTCATATTAAATTCAAAACAAATGGTAAATTAAATGTATGTTTAAGGGCCTAGATATACTGATTACTATAAATGTATTTTCTTTTAAATAGCGTCCACCTTGTACCCAACACAATAAATGGAAACATCTACCCTCCCTTAATCACCATTGCCTACAGTGACATTGATATCAAAGACGCCAATAGCCAGTCTGTGAAGGTGAGTTCCTGACTAATCAGTGCCCTTGTATGTATAAATAGAGTATAATACTGATTCAGTTTACATTTTGGTCAAAAGACAGTCTTTTTTTTTTTTAAGTTCTAAATAAACCTTTCTCTACATATAGTCAAGTCTTAATTATTTTTTACTAATAATGGTGAGAGGTGAGTTCGTATGGATCCTGAATATAAAAAAGTAAGAATGGATTATGTTTTTCAGTAGAAGTCTCACCAGCAGCCTAGTATCCTTGTTCGGGATACCGGGGTATGCTGAGATGTGCAATGTCTGCTCCTGTTCTTATTTTATTTTATTTTATTTTTTTGAGACGGAGTCTCGCTCTGTCGCCCGGGCTGGAGTGCAGTGGCCGGATCTCAGCTCACTGCAAGCTCCGCCTCCTGGGTTTACGCCATTCTCCCGCCTCAGCCTCCCGAGTAGCTGGGACTACAGGCGCCTGTCACCTCGCCCGGCTAGTTTTTTGTATTTTTTAGTAGAGACGGGGCTTCACCGTGTTAGCCAGGATGGCCTCGATCTCCTGACCTCATGATCCGCCCGTCTCGGCCTCCCAAAGTGCTGGGATTACAGGCTTGAGCCACCGCGCCCGGCCTGCTCCTGTTCTTTTTGGCCACCTTGCTTTTGTTAAGATTTTGTGGGCCGGGTGCGGTGGCTCACGCCTATAATCCCAGTACTTTGGGAGGCCAAGGCGGGCGGATCACCTGAGGTCGGGAGTTTGAGACAGCCTGACCAACATGGTGAAACCCTGTCTCTACTGAAAATACAAAAATTAGCCGGGCATGGTGGCACGCATCTGTAATCCCAGCTACTCTGGAGGCTGAGGCAGGAGAATCGCTGGAGCCCAGGAGGCGAAGTTGCAGTGAGCCGAGACCGAGATCACTTCACTGCACTCCAGCCTGGGCAAAAGAGTGAGACTCCATCTCAAAAAAAAAATCTTATATCTTTGCCCAATTAAGCCAGGAACTCAGACTTTACAGTGGGCATATGTGTGCTCACCAATCTGTGACCTACTTAATAGAGACATACTTCAACAGGCAGAAGGAGATGATAATTATCAGCGTTATAACTAGTACAGCTAACATGAACTAGAGGATGTAGTTTGGACCTGCAGCCAAGTAGGTTTCCCACTACTTCGTCAACTAAATTAAACTTAACTACAGGACAGAAGGCCTCTTCTGCCTGGGTGGGCCTGTATATAGAAGTGAGACCTCTTAGGCTGCACTGCAGAGAATGAGCTTAGAGAAGGTTGAGCTACACATGCTCAGTTCCTCTTCTCAACTTCTCCAGTCAGATAAAGCATCTTGCTTTGAGGAGGGATAAATGAGAGAGGGATAGAGGTAAAAAAACAGAGGTAATTCTTCTATATTTTTCCTCCTAGAGATTAAGTGGCTATTCCCTTCTTTCTGTAAAAACATGAGAAGTGGAGCATAGCATTTCTTACCTCCAAACTCTGTAAGAGCTTTGAATTTCTACTATTTTACTTCTGTATTTTAATATTCTAGTTCTTCAGCCGGTGCTTTTGGCCTCTCTGTTGTGCTTGTACTTGTACTTGACTGCTATTGGATTCAAACTTTAATTAAGTAAAAATACATATGTAGTATAACTTTTAAAGATTTTCCATCCTCATTTGTATTACCTAATCCAGTGCTAAAATTAGTTTCCATTGACCGAGCTTGCATATACTGTAATGAGAGGAGAAGAAAATCCAAAACATACTTGGTAACAACAAAAGACTGCCTGGTTTAAAACTTCCTGGAGTGGTGTTATGAGTAATCAAGAATATATTTATTTTCAGCTTGACCAACATAGTGAAACCCTGTCTCTACTGAAAATACAAAATTAGCCAGGCATGGTGGTGCATGCCTGTAATCCCAGCTGCTTGGGAGGCTGAGGCAGGAGAATCACTTGAACGCGGGAGGGGGAGGTTGCAGTGAGCTGAGAGCGTGCCATTGCATTCCAGCCTGGGCAACAAGAGCAAAACTCTGTCTCAAATAAAATAAAATAATTGTGTGTGTGTCTGTGTATGTATATATATATATTTATTTTAATGTAAAACACTTCTGAGTCTTTTCTTTAAATATTATTCTTGTCCAAAATAATTCTAAACTAAGCCTTGATAAATTGAAAAATAACAAATAGAAAAAAGTTAAGTCCGCTGGTTGTGGTGGCTCACGCCTGTAGTCCCAACACTATGGGAGGCCAAGGTGGGCAGATCAGTTGAGGTCAGGAGTTAGAGACCAGCCTGGCCAACATGGTGAAACCCTGTTTCTGCTAAAAATATAACAAAAAAAAAATTATCTGGGCATGGTGGTGGTTACCTGTAATCCCAGCTACTTGGGAGGCTGAGGCAGGAGAATTCTTGTTGCTTGAACCTGGGATGTAGAAATTGTAGTAAAACAAGATTGCACCACTGCACTCCAGAGTGAGACTGTCTCAAAAAAGAAAAAAAAAAAAAAGTTAAGTCATGAAACTACATTGATGAAGTCTACCTCAAATTATTCTAATTATAAAATATACAATTCTTTCATCATTTCTTAATTTCTCATGGCAGCTGTTGCAAAATTTTACATCAGTTGTAAACATCCAGTTATGTCTCTGCTCTTTATCTAGTCTTGAGCAGATCAGGACCATCTATCATGAATTCCTTAAGATTTCCTCTTTAATATTTCAGAATCTCTGTTTCATTGTCCTTCCCATTTCTTGTTCCTGTTTCCAAGAAAGAAGGTCCCCTCCTCTCTTCCTAAACTAATCTTCTATCTAAACTCATTTATAGTACATTTTCCAATATCCTGTTCCATCCCTAATGTCTTATTCAGACAGCCTCTCTGCGAGTCCCTTTCCTTTGTTTATAAAAACTCTCAGATTGCCTTATCTTAAAAACAAACTAAAACAACCAACCAACCAACCAACCATTTTACTCAGTTCTGCCAGCTGCCCAGCTTGCTAATGTATCTCTTCATTTCCCAACCATTTACTCTTTCATCATTTGCAGTCTGGCTCTTGCCATTTACTTCTTTGAAAACCTCTTTCATGAAAGTCAGCGATGGTTTCCACGTATAGTGGCTTTCTTTACCTTGACATTTATACAACATTTGAAACTGTACTCGGCCGGGCGCGGTGGCTCAAGCCTGTAATCCCAGCACTTTGGGAGGCCGAGACGGGCGGATCACAAGGTCAGGAGATCGAGACCATCCTGGCTAACACGGTGAAACCCTGTCTCTACTAAAAAATACAAAAAACTAGCCGGGCGAGGTGGCGGGCGCCTGTAGTCCCAGCTACTCGGGAGGCTGAGGCAGGAGAATGGCGGGAACCCGGGAGGCGGAGCTTGCAGTGAGCCGAGATCCGGTCACTGCGCCCCAGCCTGGGCGACAGAGCAAGACTCCATCTCAAAAAAAAAAAAAAAAAAAAAGAAACTGTACTCAATGTCCTCCTCCTTCTTGAAACTCCCTATTCTGTGACCATGGTAAGACTTTATCTTCCTCTCCTACCCCTCACAGTCCTCTTCTCTGACCTTTAACGTAGTGGTATCTTTAAGATTTTGTTCAGATCTTTGATTAATCTACGGTTTAGCAACTGGTGGTTTACCCAGTTGCTAAATTCCTAATGTACAAGTTTAGTCAAATTCCTCAGTTACAGAAGTCTATCAGAAAATGAAATATGATTAGTCTGTGCATGAATTTAACTTATCTCCTAACAAGCCCCGTTTTTAATGTGCGTGAAAGAGATATTTAAAGTAGCACAAATAATTCTCAAAAGCATATCTATTTACATGTAAGTGAAGGTCAACTCTAATAATATTGATAGTTAGAAACTATAGTGTTTATGGTAAAACCCAGCTACAAATGTGTTTTTATAAGAAAAGTAAGTTTGTATTACATAATTTCAGTATAGCTAATTTGTTTTGTTTTAAATACCAGGTTTCTTTCTCAGTCACATACGAAATGGATCATGGAGAAGCACATGTCCAGACAGATGTAAGTTTATTTTAACCTATTAAAATATATACAGTGTATTTTATAATTAAATAATTTCAGATGTGCAAGAAAGTTGCTAAAACAAATTTGCCAGATACTCTTTTCCCCAGCCTCCCCTAATGTTAGCGTATATAGCCTTAGCACAATGATCATAACCTGGAAATTAATATTGATGTAGTCCTATTAACTCATCTACATGCTATTTGAATTTCACTATTGAATTTTTTTCTGTTTTAGGACCCAATCTAGCGTCACATATTGCTTTTAGCTGTCATAGCTCCTTAGTGTTTTAAAATGTGTGACAGATTCTTAGTCTTTCTTGACCGTAATACTTTTGAAGAGTACTGGTCCATTATTTTGGCCCTCAATTTGGGTTTGTCTGGTATTTTCCCATGATCAAATTGAGTTCATATAGTTTTGGCAAAGATGCCATCAAAGTGATGCTATAATAATAAATAAAAATAAGTATCTCATGGGGAAGATTCTTTGAAATTATGCAAACATCCTGCTTCTTATTCTTCTTATTCTCCCCCTCTCGTTTTTTGTTTTTTTTTTTTTTTTGGAGATGGAGTTTTGCTCTTGTTGCCCAGACTGGAGTGCAATGGCATGATCTCAGTGATTGTCTTGTCTCAGCCTTCTGAGTATCTGGGATTACAGGCATGTGTCACCACGCCCAGCTAATTTTTGTATTTTTAGTAGAGATGGGGTTTCTCCATGTTGGTCATTCTGGTCTCAAATTCCCAACCTCAGGTGAGCCACCGCACCCAGCCGGCCCGCTTAATTTTATTTTATTTTATTTTAGATGGAGTCTCACTCTATTGCCCAGGCTGGAGTGCAGTGGTGTGATCTCGGCCCACTGCAACCTTCACCTTGTTGGTTTAAGCAATTCCCCTGCCTCAGCCTCCCTAGTAGCTGGGATTACAGGTGCATGCCACCACACCAGGCTAATTTTTTTGTATTTTTAGTAGTGATGGGGTTTCACCATGTTGGCCAGACTGGTCTTGAACTCCTGACCTTAGGCAATCCACCCGCCTCAGCCTCCCAAAATGCTGGGATTACAGGCGTGAGCCACCACGCCCGGCCCTCTAATTTTATTGAATAGCATCCATTGATGATTCTTACCTGCAGAAAGTTTCACTGTGATATTTGCCTGATGGTAATTTTCTGTTTCCCTAATTACTTTTTTATTTATTTGGAACTTTACTATAAGGAGAAACTCTCCCTTTGCTCACATTATTTATTCAATTATTTATTTTTAAATCAGTGTGAACTCGTATTTATTCTATTCTAGTAATTATAATATGTTGTTATTTGTTTTCTTGTTCAAATTGTCCCACATTTGGCCATTACAAGTTCCTCCAACTTGACTCCTGTGTCCTTTCAACATGTCCCACCCCACCATTTTTTTGAGCACTTCCTTACTTTCTGTTCACAGTGTTTTTGAACACCAATGAGAGAAATTACATAAATTCTCAATTGTTCTTTTGTTTTTTAGATTGCTTTGGGTGTATTGGGTGGGCTAGCTGTTTTAGCATCTCTTTTGAAGACAGCAGGATGGAAGAGGCGCATTGGGAGTCCCATGATTGACTTACAGGTATAATCTCAGCGGTTTTTAAGTAATATTTTAATCTTTTGACTCTTCTGGATCCTTTTCATAAGACACAGCTAGAGGATAAGTAAAGAAGTTGCATTGAATTTTTCTGGGGTATGTAATTAGGATAAGTATTTCTGGGTCATATGGTATATGCGTACCTCATTTTCTTCCCACCATACTGTATGCCAGTCTATATTCCTACCAGCAATGCTCTTCTTATTTCTGCACAAACTTGGCAACACTTGATATTTTTCCAGCCTTTCCAATTTTTGCCAATCTCATGGCATATAGTAGTATGTCACTGTTGATTTCATTTTCATTTCTCTGTACTCTTCATATACATTTTAATCATTCAGGTTTTTCCTTCTGTTAACTGCCTGTTTATATCCCTTGCATACTTCTCTATTATGTTTCCAGTTTTTCTTGTTTATGTGAAGGATTTTTTTTATTTTCTAAGTAGTAACCCCTTTTTGGTTTCTGATGTTGAAATATATGAACAAATAAATATGTGACCCATCTGTCATTTTTATCCATGTGGTCCTTTGTTTAACAGAAACTTTCAGGTTTGTTTTTGTTTTTGTTTTTGTTTGTTTTTTTGAGACAGAGTCTCACTCTGTCACCCAGGCTGGAGTGCAGAGGCACGATCTTGGTTCACTGCAACCTCCACCTCCCGGGTTCAAGTGATTCTCCTGCCTCAGTCTGCTGAGTAGCTGGGATTACAGGCATGCACTACCTTGCCTGGCTAATTTTTGTATTTTTAATAGAGACGGGGTTTCACCATGTTGGTCAGACTGGTCTTGAACTCCTGGCCTCATGATCCACCCACCTCGGCCTCCCAAAGTGCTGGGATTACAGGCATGAGCCACCACGCCTGGCCAGAAACTTTTAGTTTTGATATCATCATATCTGAATATTTTTTCAGTGCTTTTAGGATCTTGTTTAGGAAAACCTTCCCTATATCAAGATCAGAAAGATAGTCCACATTTTATTCTATTAACTTTATACTTTCACTTCATATTTAACCTTTTATTTTTATCAAACATTTAAAAAATATTTACCATGTACCAGACACTTTTTAAAGCTTTATGTATGTAATTTTCTTAATCCTCACAGTAGCTCTTTGAAGTTAGGTTATTATTATTATTCACATTTTACACATGATGAAATTGAGGCAAAGGTTAAATTTTCTACTCGCTTGATTTTTACAGCAACTCAGTAATAGATATTTCCATTTTGCCGATGAAGAACATGAGAAAGGTTACAGGGTAACTTTAACCAAAGTATCTTTCTGATTCCAAAGCCAGTGAGCTAAGGAATCAGCAGGGGGACTTGATTTACTACTTGGGATAGTCCAGAAAGGCTTCCCAGAGAAGTGAACTTTAAGTGGGATTATCTCTTCATTCTACAGTAGTCACTGAGGCTCTACTGTCTAAGTGTCTGGCACTCTGCCAGGAACTAGAGGATGTGATAGTGAGCAAAGACAGACATAGTCTGTGCTCTCAGAAATCATGAGAGCTTACCAGAGAGAGGAAGAGAAGAATATTTGGTAAAACAATGCCCATTTTATTCCACAAAGTATTCGAGATGAAAGTATGAAGTGGTTAGTCATTGACTAACTACATGACTAGAACTGGCAGATGAGGCTAAAAAGTTAATTTTGGCCCATATTGTGAAGGACCTTGTGGATCAGGAATTTATATTGCAGTGAGGAGTTGTTCATTTTTAACAAGGGAAGTGACACAATCCAATTCACATTTTAGAAAACTAACTCTGGTGTTAGTGTGGAGGAGAGATTAAAGGGGACTAAGAGAAAATTGGGAAGCAGTTCAATTTTCTTAGATAGTGAAAGATGAGAAGAGTTGAAAAAAGAGGCTACCAGGAATGGCCAGAAAGGTAAGGAACTAAAAGGTAGCAAGGAAGAGGAAGCAGGTGGTCTTTATAGCCAGATCATATGTAGATATGTGAAACGAGGTTTCAGGCTTAAGAAACGTAGTGGATGATGTATAAAAGTGGTAATATTACTAAAAGTGGTTTATACATTGAGTCTTAAACAGCTGTTAATTCGTTTTTTTTAATTGCAGACAGTTATGAAATTCTTGGTGTACTATGCTGGTGATCTGGCCAATGTTTTCTTTATCATCACAGTGGGAACAGGTCTTTACTGGCTTATTTTCTTCAAAGTGAGTGAGTTTCTGAATTTACCCCAACTGCCAATATCGGAATAATTGAAAAATTTTCTTTATAAAGGAACTATTTTTGTTTGGGAGAATTTTTGATCAACAGTATTAAGAAAAGTGCCCAACTCTCCATTCCTTGAGTGTGCTGAGCTTATCGATCACATCGCTATCTTCCTCTTTTATGCTTTCTTTGGTTTTTAAATTGTGCTTAAGAAAAACCTTGTTCAATTGGAAGACTTACGTGGGAGGATCCTGTGAGTCCAGAATCGAGTGCTGCCCGGGCAGCATACTGAGACCCTCCTTTCCCAAAACAAACAACACTTTGTGTGATTATATTTAATCAAGTAATTCTTACTACAGGCACAGAAGTCTGTCTCTGTTTTGCTACCAATGCCAGTTCAGGAAGAACGTTTTGTCACTTATGTTGGATGTGCCTTTGCTCTGAAGGTAAGTTTTAAAGGACAGGTTACCAAATTTAAAAGGCCTGCTAATGAACTAATAAGTCTTTAAAATTAAAATGCTTTCAAAAATCTTTGGTGTGAAATTCACTTTGGTTTTGAAAGAAAGCATTAATTATTTTATGCAGTAAATTTACTTTTATTTGTAGTAGATGCTCAGTCTGAAAATCTGTCTTAAATATTTTTTTCAAAGAAGCCATAAATTTGTATGGCTTATTTGATAAAATGATATTTCAGTATATAACTTTCCTTAAAGTCTGATGATACATTCACAATGGGACAAAATGTCTTCAGGCATGAATTTTGTCTCCATTAATCAAGGATAAAGTGTTGAGATCTTAAAGCTGTTTTGTCTGTCTCCAGATTCCTTTGCTCCTTTCTTCCTGTGACCCCCATCCTCAACTCAGTGTTCTCTATCAATGTAGGTGAAGCTCTTTATATGCCTCTTGATAGTCCTTATCCCATTGTACTGTGAATATTAAGTATCTCCTTTTTCCACTGGCTGGGAGCTTCTCGAAGTGAAGTATCCCATACTTAGATTTTTATCCTTTATTTGATCAATAATGCAGCAACTAGAAAGAATGCCTCAGTTTAAACATATTGCTTCTATAAATGAGAAAGATGTGTTTCAACAACGCATTCTGTAAAAATCAGAAATCTTAATAGCAGAAATAGAAAAAACAGACAGAGCATTCAAAAACTTTAATTAGGAAAAACAAGCTATAGTTGAAAATATCTTTACTTATAAAGAAGTCAACTGATCTACAAAACGAGGTGTGCTTCTAGAATCTTTGGGAGTCAATTATATAAGTCCCTGTGTGAGGAGGAAAAATGTCTCCTCTTTTCGTATTCCTATTTTAAAGAAATAAATAAAAAGGGAAGGTAAAGTAAAATGTATATGAAAATTCTGTTAATTTGGTGATTCCAGGTTATCTGATGAGCTTCTAATGATCCCCTAGTGGTATTATAACTTCATGTGAATTCACTTATAAAGGTATATGTTCTTGTGATAACAGTATGTTTCTTAAAGAGTCAATATTGGTTTTATAAGCAGGCTTAATGCTGGTACTCTTTCAGGTGTTTTATTATATGTCATTCTCAGGCACTACAATTTTTGCATAAGCTCATATCGCAGATTACAATAGATGTATTCTTTATTGATTGGGAGCGACCTAAAGGAAAGGTTCTTAAAGCTGTTGAAGGTAAGTGAAATATACATTTGTACCAAAATTCTTTTGCTATCCTTGCAGAGCAGAGGAGGTAGAATTCTTTTACTCATTTTATTTTTCTGACCAGGTGAGGGTGGTGTACGAAGTGCCACTGTTCCTGTAAGCATATGGAGAACATATTTTGTAGCAAATGAATGGAATGAAATTCAGACTGTGAGAAAAATTAATTCACTATTTCAAGTACTTACTGTCCTCTTCTTTTTGGAGGTATAAACTGTTTTGATGTGATTATATGCAACTTACATGTACCTTATAAATATTAAACTAATATAATTCCAACTAAGTTTTCATGACAGTGGAAGATTTCTCTAAAGGTTGAAATATTGTTGTGAAGCCATTAAAAAGGAGTGACTTTATGTTATATACTTTACCACAATTTTTTTTTTTAAGTTTACCATCTTAAGCATTTTTGAGTGTAGAGTTTAATAGTGTTAAGTCAGCCAGGCGCAGTGGCTCACGCCTCACTTTGGGAGGGCAAGGCAGGCGGATCACCTGAGGTCGGGAGTTTGAGACCACCCTGGCCAACATGGAGAAACCCTGTCTCTACCAAAAAATACAAAATTAGCTGGCCATGGTGGCACATGCCTATAATCCCAACTGCTCGGGAGGCTGAGGCAGGAGAAGCGCTTGAACCCAGGAGGCGGAGGTTGCAGTGAGCCAAGATTGCGCCATTGCATTCCAGCCTGGGCAAAAAGAGCGAAACTCCATCTCAAAAAAAAAAAGATAGTGTTAAGTACATTCGCATTGTCATGCATAATCATCACCACCATTCATCTCTAGAACTCTTCATCTTGCAAAACTGAAACTCCATACCCCTTAAACAACCCTGTACCCATTCCCTGCTACACCTAACCCCTGGCAACCACCATTCTATAATACTTCCTGTCTCTGTGTGTTTGACTGCTCTAGGTGTAAGGAGTGGCTTTAAAACCAATAGTTTGTATCAGAAGCCCTCGGGGATCTTTTGTAAAATACCTATGCTCGGGCTCACCCTTAGAGACTATGTTTGATTTAGTAGCTTTGAGGTAACCCCAGGTATCTATATTTTGAAAAAGCTCCCTACTCCCTGATCCGTATTCTCCCCTGCATTAGAATCACTATTATAAGTTTGATATTTTTCAACTAATTTTTATTGAAAACTTACTATAGACTATGTTCTGTGCTAAGAGCTGGGGCTAAAATGAACAAGATGCAACATATTTATTATACATTTGCAGTTATTTCATGGATTTAGTTGAAATTATTAAAGAAAGTATTCAGTACTAAGTATAAGACTGAACATGGAAACCGTTTATATGGGAATAGGTTTTCTAAGGAATTATCTGCTTAATTAAGATTGAATATAAATCATTAACTCTTAGGTCTGTCTGTCTTCTCTCTTTTTTCTTCTTTCTTTCCATTCTCTTTCCCCTTTCCCTTCCTTTATTTTTGTAAAACTGGTAGAAGACTGTTTGTATCCTTAGAGCTTTTAAATAATATGAGCAATACTTCCAAAATTCACTTGAAGTAGTATTTTGGTTTTTCTTAAATGAACAGATAAAATTTATATATGTTTATAGTTTACAATACAGTGTTTTGATATATGTATTCATTGTGGAATGGCTAAATCAAGCTAGTTTATCTGTTACCTCACATACTTCTTTTCTTTTTGAAGTTGTATGTGTGTGTGTGTGTGTGTGTGTTTAGGAGTTTCCTCAGCTTTAAAAGATGTTACATGAAAAAGTTTTATAGTCAAGTAAGTTTGGAAAATATTGGATTCAGTATAATCATGTATTACCTTTTACTGTAAAACTTCTCAGAGCCTTTATTCTACAAGGGTGGGAAGCATGGAGGTGAGTGTAATGGATGGACCAAATGTATTTAAACATAGATTATTTTTTCAAAGAACTTATGCCCTTTAGAAGACATTTTGTAATATACTGTTTTAAAGTATAAAAATGTTTAGTACAGTGCCTGGCACATGTCAAATACTCATGAAATACTAGTTGTTGGTTTCACTCATTGGTAGTTTACTAATGAAAGTTTTATCCTTTGAATTAAATTTGTATTCCTGTCAGTGTGTATGACAATAAGGTTATATTTGACCCTTAGTCATATTGAGAAGAATGCCAAATGAACTAACTAAATATTGTGTAATAAATACTTTGTAGTTAAGATACTGGATAATAATTATTTTTATCTAGATTTTCTACCGTTTATACAAACTTGGATATTTTAGTTTTTCAAGGTGAGTAGGGAGAGGTTTTCTATTTTCAGTCTAGAGTAGTTTTCTTTATCCATGTCTGTTTAAATTATTACTTTTCCTTTTTACTCCAGGTTGTGGGATTCAAGAACTTGGCATTAATGGACTCATCTTCTAGTCTTTCTAGAAGTCCATCTAGCTATGTAGCTCCTTATAGCCGCATTTTGAGATATGCAGTGTCTGCTGCTCTTTGGCTAGCCATTGGAATTATACAGGTAAGGAATTATACAGGTAATATTACTTCTAAGTAACATTACTTATTTATAACTCTGCTTACTTACTGATTATCATCAAACATTGACCACATCCTTCTTTCTGTAGCAGAAAGAAGGTGACAAGAGCAATAAGCTAATAGTCAGTTCTTTTTTTTTTTTTTTGAAACAGTCTTCGCTCTGTCGCCCAGGCTGGAGTGCAGTGGCATGATCTTGGTTCACTGCAGCCCCTGCCTCCCAGGTTCAAGCAATTCTCCCACCGCAACCTCCTGAGTAGCTGGGACTGTAGGCGCCCACCACTACATCCAGCTAATTTTTTTGTATTTTTAGTAGAGATGGGGTTTCACCATGTTGGCCAGGCTGGTCTTGAACTCCTGACTTCAGGTGACCCTCCTCCCCTCCCAAAGTGCTGGGATTACAGGTGTGAGCCATCGCACCCAGCCAGTAGTCAATTCTTACATTGTGTTAGTCACTGTACTAATTAACTACTGTTGATCCATCACTTCTTGGCCTTTAGGCTAAGATCAAGTGTAATTACTGTTGATCCTTGAACAACATGGGGTTAAACTATTTGAACTCATTGAGAGTAGAAAATACAGTGTTCACAGAATGCAAATTCTGCATCTGTAGAGGGCCAACTTTCTGTATAGATGGGTTCCAGCAGGACTGAATGTGGGACTTGAATATGGGTGGATTTTGGTATACTTGGGGGTTCTGGACTCAATCACAACATACTAAAGGACAATTGTAATTGCTTTATACCTAATAATGCCTCAATCTTTATAATAGCCCTCACAGATAAGCTCTGTTATTATCCTCATTTTATAGATGAGGAAACTGAGACACAGGAAGGCTAAAAAAATTGCCTGAAGTCATGTGACTAGTAACTGACAGAACTGGAATTTGAACTCAGAGAGCCTGATTTCAGAGTTCACATTCTTGTCGATAGTGGGGCTCTGAAGGGCCTTTGAGAGTCTGCAGCTTTATAGTCATAGGACAGACTCCTTGTTTAGTTTATATGTAAATACAGGGACAGATAAGCTACCCTAAATATGTTGTTTTCTTTTGAAACATAACTTATTGTCTACATTTATTTATATATCATGAAACCTTACTCAAATTGCTCATACCCCTTGTGGAGTTTTTCTTGAAATATTTATTAAAATGACCAAAAGTAAAAATAAGTCTTTTTAGCCTCAGGTCCCATGGATCTAGTAGAGGCTATAAAGAAAAAAAAAAAAAAAAAAAAAGGAAAAAAAAAAAAAAAAAAGAAAGAAGCAGCAGCAAGCATCTAACTTTCAGGTACTCATAAACAGAAAGAGTCCTTCTGTTTAAAATTTCCTTAACTTTTATAATCAACACATGAAGATAGGACCTCTAGAGAGACCAATTTTAACTTCCTATAGCTGGCTAATAGCTATCTACCTAGAACAGCCTACTTTTAAGGATCTTTTGAGATTTTTGTTTGTTTGGTTTTTGTTTTTAGAGACAGTCTTCCCCTGTCTCCCCGTCTGGAGAGCAATGATGCAATCATAGTTCACTGCAGCCTCAACCTCCCGGGCTCAAGCAATCCTCCTGCCTCAGTCTCCTGAGTAGCTGGGACTATAGGCACATGCCACCACACCCAGCGATTTTTTTTTTTTTTTTTTTTTTTGAGACAGAGTTTCACTCTTGTTGCCCAGGCTGGAGTGCAATGGCGTGATCTCGGCTCACTGTAACCTTTGCCTTCCAGGTTCAAGCGATTCTCCTGCCTCAGCCTCCCAAGAAGCTGGGATTACAGGGGCCTGCCAGCATGCCCAGCTGATTTTTGTGTTTTTAGTAGAGACGGGGTTTCACCATGTTGGCCAGGCTGGTCATAAACTCCTGAGCTCAAGCTATCCTCCCATCTTGGTCTCCCAAAGTGCCAGGATTACAGGTCTGAGCCAGATTGAAATATTTTTAAGAGAGCATATTCTTAGAGAATTAGGTCCAGGTGGTGGTATTCAGTAATCTGTGTATTAACTTTTTAAATATATATTTATTTTAAATTGATGAGACTTACTCAAACATGAAACTACAGGGATAGAGTTAGTAAAGGACAGCTGACAACCAGAAAAAGAAAACAAACATATTAGAATTGGAAACAAGATAGAATCAAAAGACTATGGGGTTTGATGTTTACCATCAATGTAATAGTAAGGAAATACTTTGTACAATATACCAATGTATTTTGTGAGTATATCAGATTCCTGTGGATGTAGATAGTCTAAAGCAGTATCATCTGAAACTTTTCATATTTGGTTGAATATAACAGTCAAAAACAAAATAAGAGTGGCTGAAATCAAAGAGAACCTTGTCTTTCCCATGAAAAAGATGAGCAGAGGTCCAAAGTACAGGGCTGGAGTGGAATGGTGGCTTAGTGCTACTGTCAGGACCCAGAAGCCTGTCCTTCTGCCCAGCCACAAGGGACTTCCATCTCCACAGTCCCTTCATGGTCCATAATGGTCAATGAAGTTACAGGAGGGAATTGAAGTAGGTAAGGTCACCTTTTCTTTAACAGCCTTTTCAGAAGTGCCTTTCAACATCTTCTTGGCTAGAACTTAATAGCATGGCCACACCTAACTGCACTAGAACCTTTCAGCTGAGCAGCAGTATATCCTGCTCAAGGAAGGGATCTGTTACTAAGGAGAAAGGGTTGTTGGGACAGCACCTAGCAATCTCAGACACCACCATCTAACTTCATTCTTTGCATCTCACTTTGCTGTCAGCTGGATAGTAAACCTTTTCTCTCCATGGTAATATTCTAAAATGATCAGTGTTTATATATTTGTCAAGAATCTTTGAGAGTTCCTTTAACAACCTGTTACAGTTTTGTAAATTTGTCTAAACTCTTCTTGATTCTAATGATGTCAGGCTTTATTGTTCACTCCTTCTATTTCCTTAAACCCAGCCTCTTCAGCTTTTAAGTGGTGTCTTTTGATTTTTAAACCTTGAATATTGCTGTTTTTGACATCCTTTAAAGAGGTTTAAAATATGTATATATATGCCGGGCGCGGTGGCTCAAGCCTGTAATCCCAGCACTTTGGAAGGCCGAGACGGGTGGATCACGCAGTCAGGAGATCGAGACCATCCTGGCTAACATGGTGAAACCCCGTCTCTACTAAAAAAAATACAAAAAACTAGCCGGGCGAGGTGGCGGGCGCCTGTAGTCCCAGCTACTCGGGAGGCTGAGGCAGGAGAATGGCATAAACCCGGGAGGCGGAGCTTGCAGTGAGCTGAGATCCGACCACTGCACTCCAGCCTGGGCGACAGAGCAAGACTCCATCTCAAAAAAAATAATAATAATAAAAATAAAATAAAATAAAATATGTATATAGAGTATGTAGGAAAACATTTTCAGTAGTCAGCTACTGTAGATTCACTTACCTATTCATTCACATATTTAAGTGCATTTTATGTACTGGATGCTGTGCTGAGCTTATGGATATGCTGTTACAGGAACAAATGACAGATTGTGCCAAGTGCTGTGACGAGATGCAGCAGGGACATGAGATAGAGAGTAAAAAGAAGGGAGGAGAGTGGAGGGTAGGAATGGGGGACAGTGGGGGCAGCTTTAAATAGGGGAGTTAGGAAATTTTACCTTTTTGTGAAACATGTCTAAAAAGATGTACCAGGTAAAATTTTTATTTATAAAATTTCTGTTTCCACTATTAAATCTAAGAAAACACTGGAAACCATTCCATATGAATTTTTAATACTTTATAGTCAGAATACTAGATATATGCTTTTTATGTGCTGTTCTGGCAGAGAAAATTAATTTGAAAAGTAGAGAATTTTCTCATGTCTTGGAATTTAGATGAGCAAAATGACAAAACCAAACATAAATCTGACCATCGATGCATTGATTTGTCCTACATTTTTAAAAGACTTTTTCTTTCTTCCCACGTGTTTGTCATAGCTTGTTTTAATGACACAGAAAGTTTGCAAAGCTCAAAATAGATTCCCTCAATGACTCAACACAATTTCAAAATCCTCCTCCCTTCGACAGAAGACTCAGAAATGATAAGTAGGACTTTATCACATAGGAACTGTTAAAGACCACTGTGCTTTTGGTTGGAACTTTTTTTTCTTAAGATACTACACTGTGGCTGTAACAGAAAATTAAAATCCTAAAAGCTAATAAACATAAACTTGGCTTAATGTTTCAGATCGTGTTCTTTGCTGTCTTTTATGAGAGATTTATAGAAGATAAAATTCGACAGTTCGTTGATTTATGCTCTATGAGTAATGTAAGTACTTTCTGACTTCATCTTGCAACTGTTACTTTCCCTTTTTAAAGGTCATGAGTTTGTTAAGAGAGGCTTTAAAAGTCATTTGGTATGACTGAATTTTTGGTCCAATTTTCCACTGGTTGTTAATTCCAGAGATAATTATAATGAGCTACAAGTTAATATTTACTGCCTTAGTTTTTTCATCTTTTTTTGTGTGTTTTTTTTGTTTGTTTGTTTTTGGAAACGGTCTTGCTCTGTCACCCAGGCTGGAGTGCAGTGGCACCATCTTGGCTCACTGCAACCTCTGGCTCCCAGGTTCGAGCAATTCTCACACCTCAATCTCCTGAGTAGCTGGGATTACGGGTGTGCACCACTCTGCTGGACTAATTTTTTTTTTTTTTTTTTTTTGGGTGGGGTTCTCACTCTGTTGCCCAGGCTGGAGCGCAACCTCCGCCTCTTGGGCTCAAGCGATTTTCCTGCCTCAGCCTCCCAAGTAGCTGGGATTACAGGCACCCGCCACTACGCCCTGCTAATTTTGGTATTTTTGGTACAGATGGGGTTTCACCATGTTGGCCAGGCTGGTCTTGAACTCCACCTGCCTCCAGCCTCCCCAAGTGCTGGGATTACAGGTGTGAGCCACTGTGCCCAGCCTGTTTTTTTCACCTTTATTTACAGTTTCTTAATTATGAATTTCTTATGCTTCCAAGTAGTTCATTAATTCCAGCACCCCTGAAAATTGTTTGTATATCAACGCTGTTTCTTCTTTTCCTTTCTTTTTTTTTTTTCTTTTTTTTCGAGAAAAGGCTCGCACTGTAACCCAGGCTGAAGTACAGTGGTGCAGTCGTAGCTCACTGCAACCTTGACCTCCTGAGTTCAAGCAATCCTCCCACCTCAGCTTCCCAAGTAGCTGGGACCACAGGTGTGCACCACCAACGACTCAACTTTTTTTTTTTTTTGTAGAGAAAGAGTCTCCCTATGTTGCACAGACTTATTTCTCCCTTTCTTGGAAAATATCTTCAATCTCTTTTTCAAACACTTTTAAAAAAAACCTTATTATCCTTGATTACTGTATTATCCTCTTTATATATTTCCCAAGAATACAATCTTCATTATTTTGGGAAAAAGAAAGCAATTTTAAGGAAAACTTAATTTTTTGTTGTTTTGCATAAGAGTTGCTAATTGCTTCTTTTTATTCTCTTTTTATAGATATCAGTGTTTCTATTATCCCACAAATGTTTTGGATATTACATTCATGGTAGATCAGTACATGGGCATGCAGATACTAATATGGAAGAAATGAATATGAACCTTAAAAGAGAAGCGGTATGAAAATGTTTTACATCTTTTTGTTTTTAAGTTGAGAAATGGATTCTTATAAATCTTGGATTTGTTTTTTTTTTAAAAAGTCTTTATTGATAACTTTTTTTTTTTTCTCAGCTCAACGAGTAGTCTGGGGGACTACAGGCGCCCGCCACCGCTCCGGCTAGTTTTTTGTATTTTTTTTTTTTAGTAGAGACGGGGTTTCATTGTGTTAGCCAGGATGGGTCTCGATCTCCTGACTCGTGATCTCCCGTCTCGGCCTCCAAAGTGCTGGGATTACAGGCTTGAGCCACCGCGCAACTTTCAAAAGTGATCAATAGGCCAGTGCGGTGACTCACGCCTGTAATCCAAGCACTTCAGGAGGCCAAGGTGGGTGGACCACCTGCGGTCAGGATTCAAGACCAGCCTCGCCAACACGGTGAAACCTCGTCTCTACTAAAAATACAAAATTAGCCGGGTGTAGTGGCAGATGCCTGTAGTCCCCAGCTGCTCAGGAAGCTGAGACGGAGGATCACTTGAATCCAGGAGGCAGAGGCTGCAGTGAGCCAAGATTGGGCCACTGCACTCCAGCCTGGGTGACAGAGCAAGACTCCATCTCAA